AAAAAGCCAGCAGATTTAGTAAACTATATAGCACCTAAGGAGAAGAGAGGAGGAGGAAGAAACAATGTTGTTAGTGGTGCCACCATTAGAAAAACAAATTGTCTCAGGCTGGACTGAGCTAAACAGGGCCACTCTGAGGTACGCTATGTCATTTGGCGCAATCCCTGTATCCACAGGAAAGATCAGGTGGTTTGGGGGCAGAAAACTACATTGCACCGCAAGTGACCCTATTTAGCCTGTTCCTCCCTTTAAATGGAATTAAACAAAGAAAAATAACAAAAAAGCTCCATGGGGGAGCTAGAGAAAACTGCAATTAAATATATATATTTTTAAATGGCACAGCAGTGAATCATCTTGCTGTTCAACCAATTCAGTGCTGGATTACAAGAGATTTAAAAAATTAAGCCTCACATTTTCTTCAGTGTCTTCCTCCATGGGAGACGGGGAGGAAGCTTTACATTTCTTAATAACTGATCAGAGCTCAGTGGCTTAAAGAAGTGTGAGCAAAGCCATCCACTTTGGTTTAATCTTGGAGATTATATATGGTAGAACCAAACCAAATCGGTGCAATCCGACTGACACTTTAAAAAGTAGCTCCTGCCAGGGACAAGGTGAATAAACATCAATGACTTTTTTTAAAAAAAATTAAATTGATTTAAATCACAATATAACTTTCAATTAAAAAAATAATTTAAAAAATTTAAATCGTGAAAAAAAATCATTTTTCAAATTTAAACTGTGATTTAAATCAATTTGATTTGAATCAAATCAACCCTGAACAGAGACCCTAAAAATGCAGGCTGGCATGGATAAGGGACAGATTGGTTTGTGACTGCCCATACATCATGTGGTTGCCAGAAAAAGGAGTAAACCATCCCCTCCCCAAAGTGGACCAAACTGAAATACAAAACACTGTCTGATAAAGACAGAAGAAGAAAAAAAGAATAGAACATTTGCGATAACTATTTGTTAAAAATAAGGAAGGTTAAGGCTTCTGCCACCCAATACTGTACTGTGCCAGTAAAAGCTCTGAGAGGCTGCTCAACATTGCTAGCTATAACTGAAAACCTCCATCTTTTATCTTAGACTCTTTGTCTTAGATCTTTCAATTTTAACTAGAGAAAAAGCTGTATTGCAAAAATGAAATATTTTAGCAATATTGTTTTGTTAGGGATAGAGAAATGCAGATAGTTTTTATCTTTTTATAATACCATATATATGGAAATGAACACTTCATAAGATATTAGAACTTTTTATTTTATTCCTTAATGGGGGAAAGGCTATGAGATGCATATCATCAGTTTTGCAGTAGGAGGATGTCTAATGACATGGTTCTAATTCAGGATATATCATCTGTGAGTTATCAGTACGTGTTGCTACTAAGCTGTACATTAAATGTAGAGGACTAAAAGAAAGGTAATTCCATGAAAAAGCTTCCATTATGTATAGACACCCATTGAGGCAATTTATTAAAGCCAAGGCATGGATTTTACCCATACAAAGCACAAACTGCTGCTAATTTAGGTCAAGGTTCAAAAGCCTGACAGCAAAATGTAGAAAAGCTCATGTTATCTACTTTAGAATATGCTGTAAAGGCTGGGGTCAGAAATCTCAACTCATTATCATACCTCCTGAGAACATCACAATGATGCAAGTGTTCAACCAGAAACAGCTGCAAAACATCAACATTTAATTCAAAATTTACTCTTCTGAAAAATAGCCTCCACTGCCCAGCTATAGAAAATGATAGGAAAATAATTTGGAATGCCATTTGAAGTATGGTGCCCATGGATGTCTAGCATATAAGGCAGTCAATTCCTGAACTGTACAGTATCTGTAATGCAAGAAACACTGTATTCTACATGTGCCTTTGACTAAAGAAATAAACCTATTTAATTTAGGTTCTTGATTAGGCACATTTTCTTTTGTTAACAAACCATTCAGATACTAATGTGAACTACCATCTCTTTCACCAGAGTGAATGGAGATTCTGACTAAACATCAGAAAAACCACCTGAGAAAAATGTTTGACAGCAGAATGGACTACATCAGAATATAGTGGACTGACTTTTACTAGAGGTTTATAAAAAGAGGTTGGGTAGCCATTATCAGGGATGCTTCAGCTGTGGCTTTGCTGCAACCAGCAGAAGGTTAGAATCAATGACTCTTAGGAGTTTTTTTCCCCCTCCGTTGTCTGTAGTTCCATCGTTCTATGACCCTAGTGCACTAATGCCAGAACTGCTGTTTACTGCCATAGTGGTTAGATCTTCCCTTTGTTTCAATCTCAGTATTGGTTTTGAAAATGTCATACTCTATCAGCAAATTAGATTTTGCCAAGGAGTTCACAGCTGGACTAGAACAGAGGTTGTATCCCCAGACACAACTGCTAGATTGGGCAGCCAACCTATATAAGAAGAACTGGGGAACAGGAGAGGCCTTTTCAGACACCCACCCCAAAAGTAGGACATGAATAGCTACAGAACATTAGTTTCTCAGCCATACCTATGATTTCACACAGAGTTTTTTTTTCCAAAAATACAAAAAAGAGAGACCACTTAAAATACACCCTTCATTCCTAAAAATGTAAACAAGTCTTGGCCTCTGTCTTGGGATAAATGCCAAAATAAAAACATAACAACATTATTTTTATACAGCACAGGTGTGTTTGTATCCACAATGTCCTGAACATTTGGTAAACAGAGATAAATCTTCCTGGATCAGGAAGATACTATTATTACCTCATGGATCTCTGATAAAACAGCTGGGAAGACAGATGCAGACATAGTAGCAGGAATCCCTAAAGTGGACTATAAAAGTTTACTATTAATTGTGAGTTTTGTGGCCACTTATATAAAGACCTTGGCCCCAGAGGTCTACAAATGTAGGTGGTAGCCAAAACAAGGAAGACTGTTAGAATAAGGAAACAAAATTAACAAAAGTGATTTGGGAACAAGACTAAAGAAGGCATGTCGATCCTCTGAGCTTAGGAAAGTTAGCCATGCTGGCTGGGGGATTCTGAGAGCTGTAGTGCAGAGAACTAATTTTCCTGAATGATGGAGAAGCTTAAGCAAAAGGGCAGGTCTAAAAAAGCCTTTAGGAATAATAACTAATCTAAGTGCTTGATGTCATAATGTGAGGTGTGTGCATGTTTGGCCTGGATCAGGTGAAGAACCAGAGAGAGAGAGTTAGTACACAAAGATGGAGACAAACAGAACCAGAGGACTTTGTAGACTTTGTGTTTCTAGCTAGAAGTCCTGATTATGAGAGATTAATCTTTTGAACTGTGAATGTTTTGAACTAAATTGACAAAAAACATCTGCTGCTGGGAGTAGAGTAAAGGGGATTAAGAAGACCCTGTTATGAAGATCCTCCTGAGCAAAGCAGATTCCACACCTGTCCACTAAGTGATGGAAGACACATTAAACATTCCATACTTCATAATAAGTGATAAGGACCATATATCTAGGGGGAAACCAAGAAATATCTACCACACATGCCCAGCTACAACCTGAGACAAAGAAACATCTACTAGGCATGCCCACCCAAAAACTTGCCTAAATAGAATATAAAAAGAGGGGTCTGGGCGACCATAATTTGTCTGCTTGAGACCAAAAGGCTTTTGGAACTTCTTTGGAACTTGGACAATGCAGATAAAGAATTCTTCTCTCTTTGGTGAGTATGTATATGGTGTGAATGTGCTGAATGCATGAAACCCCTTTATTTAGAATTATAATTGATAGGTAATAAAATATATTCATTTTTTGCATTTATTAATGCGTCTTGTGAGGTTCTTTGCTGTTTAATATTGTTCCTCTTGGGATATAAAAGATCCAGTAGTCACCCTTTTGTGACCATAATTGCATACTCAAGACAGCTAAGGAAGCAAGAGCTTCATAACCAGCATGCTAAATGTAAAGGCTAGAATTGTATTTTATTTAATTATTCTTTTATTTCAGATATTTGTATCCTGCCTTTCGGCCTTTATTTTTATCATACATGCAGTGCTCTATTGTCCTTTCGTGGAGTTTGCCCAAGTGGAGTATTCACCACCTTCTTGCACAGATGGAAACCTATTGTTTTCTATGAAGCCATCTCCGGCTTATGCAACGGCATGCTGGATTTTATGTTGAGACTACAACCTCTGTGGTGTTACCACATTTTTTCTTAACAGAATACTGGCCAAAGGATCCAGACTAACAGTAAAATCCTATAACCAAAATCTTATTGTGTAAGTTACATTTGCCAAAGGGTGATGATGTTAACCAGGAGAAAATAGCAGTCTTTGTTCTTTTCTGCAGCTTGTTCTACTTGCTAATAATCTGTGCAGAAGCCATGAGATGGAAGGAGAACAATTTTAATTACGGAAAATCTCTCCCTGTCAGTATTGTCACTTTCCCTCCATCTTGCATCTCCAGTGGTTTCCATGCAATGAAATGGATTCTCAGGCAAGCTATGAGAATGAGGGAAGAGGTCTTTAGCGACCGAAAATGTCACCACTCTTGTGACTGCGATGGAAGGATTAGTTAGTTAGTTAGTTAGTTAGTTAGTTAGTTAGTTAGTTAGTTAGTTAGTTAGTTAGTTAGTTAGTTAGTTAGTTAGTTAGTTAGTTAGTTAGTTAGTTAGTTAGTTAGTTAGTTAGTTAGTTAGTTAGTTAGTTAGTTAGTTAGTTAGTTAGTTAGTTAGTTAGTTAGTTAGTTAGTTAGTTAGTTAGTTAGTTAGTTGATTAGTTAGTTAGTTAGTTAGTTAGTTAGTTAGTTAGTTAGTTAGTTAGTTAGTTAGTTAGTTAGTTAGTTAGTTAGTTAGTTAGTTCGAGGTGAGAAGGAGAAATGATAGGAAAATATGCAGAGGTTACAAATGGAAAATACTGTGAACTGGATCCTAGCAAATTCAGTAAAGAAAGCAGGGCAATTGCATCAGAAAAGCAGCCTCGTGACTTGGACCTTAATTAATAGAGTCTGTATTGTCAACTGCTATCATGATTCCAGCTTGTCCCCACTTACCTGAGTCCAGAACAAGTACTCAGACTTACTGCAGACCCAGCATAACCTTGCACATGGCCATGGTAGAAGCATTGACCCTAATTAAATAGAAAATAGAGAAAAATTAGTCTCCAGATTCAATGTATAGCAGGAGTGGGCAATCTCCAGAGGTCCAGAAGCTACATATGCCTAGTCCTGCCTTTGGACAATTTCCAAAATATTTTCTTTTGTGTTGCAGCTGAAAAAGATGCTTTGTGCCCTTTAGTGGTCCTCTAGTTCTAAAAATTACATTATTATTTGAAGGGATGCCCCTCCCCAGTGTTACTGGGGGTCCTTCAGACATGTCAAAGATGTCAGTCCTTTCCTTTAGAGATCATAAGGGGTTGTTTTCAAAAGAATTTCATTAAAATAATTACATTTTTTAAAAAAAATCTTCTGGAATGTGGAATGCTAGGGGCTACAGGGTGTTCAGGGAGTGGCATGCTGCACATCCCTGCTTTATTGCCTTATTGCTGATCTGTCAATTTTTCTTCTTCTTCATAATACAGAAAGCTTAGCATACAAACTATAATGGGCATTATAGTGCTGAAAGCACATTTTTCCCTGTTCGAAACAGGTGTAAACCTCATGCTACTTAACTCTTAGATTCAAACAAGTTCACACCAATATCTGTTCTGTAACTCATGCAGGAATCCCTCCCTGCAAAAGATTATGGAAGTATTTAACATATTTCTTCATTATAGCCCTCCTCTTTTTGATTATGTTATTGGAAAACTATGATGGGAGGCATTTTGTAAAATTGAACAGCAGAGCAAATTATACTGCTATTCACCTTTAGGCGTTAACTGTAGATGTAAATTGTCTTTAGCAATATAAGTAGATCCATGAGACACAATTAAGCATACTGTGCAGTGTAATAAAACTGTTCTCCAGTTTTATAGCTTCAGAAAGAAAGAGAACTTGTGAAAAGGAGAGGGAGGGAGGAAGAGAATTTCATTAAATTTAGCTGACTCAAAGAATCATGTTGTTGAGAACAGAAATATAAGAGAATTTGATTTTCTAGAGCAACAGTCCTATTTCATTTGTGGTGAGCTTGCTGTAGCTTTTTAATAAATCCAGCTGCTTACAAAAGCAACCACAACAGAAGATATGTAGTGAATAAAGCTGCATGTTTGTCTGGAATTCAAAGTTTATGCTATAGCTGATGAAAATAATACTATATTCCTATTTATAGATCTACCTGGAAAATAACATTTATGTCATGTCCAGCATTTATTTCTCATTTTTCTTTCAGTTTCTTTGAATGCCACATGGAAGCCAACAGCTACATCGTCAAAGGTTACTATCTTATTAGTGTGAAGAAGAGTTATCACTCATATTTCAGCCTGACAATTTCACTCTGCCTCTCATTCCTTGGTTCATTCACATCTAAGCTGCATTAATTAACCTTTCCAATATCAGGGCATGGTTTTCAATTACATAGTCTGAGGCAGCAGACTTCTAAAGACCACTGTGATTTTGTTCAAGAAAACAATAATGTGAAAAGACTAGGGTTGAGTTTATAGTTCAGAAGTATGAATTCTTGGCAAATTTGATTAAACCATGAAAAAATATTAGTTTAGCACAAGAGTATTTCTCTTTTGTATTTATTTTATGTGGAGATGTTAAGTATGTGTGCAAATATGAATGCTGTCAACAATATGCTTTCCTGAATAAAAATTAATGCTATTTTTAAAATTTATTTCTAATTTCTGGATCATCTTTTCAGTTTGTACAAGTACCAGAAGGGTAAAAGATATAGCAAGTTGGAAAAAAAAAGAGGAAAAGCAATGAGATGGAAGTTATTGCCCCTCTGACAACACCAAGACACCCCTACTTCTGCTTAGCATGGAAGAGATGAGGTAGAGAGAGCACTAGAATTAAGGGAAAACCCAAAATGAGCCTCAGAGAAGGAAAATACAGTAGTGCCAAATATCTATGCATCTTTGACAAGAGGAAAACTGAATGCATAAACAATAAACGCACACTTAATTTCTATAGTTACCTATATACCAAATAACAACAGCAATAAATTTGGGGTTGTTTATGCAAAACTATTCCCTTTTCTCTTTAAGATGCAACTCACACATGCGAACAGGAAGCAGAGAAAATCAGCTGATTGGTTCAGAAGATGCAAAAAAAAAAAACCCCACCCAATGCTTCAGATTTTAAAACAATCCATGAAACAAAGCAGTACTTATTTTCAGTTTGTACAATTCACGCACATCATGCAATTTGTCCAAGAGAAAAAAATTTCAATTCCTCATCTTTACCTGTGAAGATGAGAGAACAAAGAATTTATATTCTAGGTCATGGATATAGATTATACCCATGGGTATAGATTATAAATTAGAAGTTCTCCTTTACCTTCAAAGTGCAGAGCCAGGAGTGTATTGAGAAATCACACTATATGTCACAGCAGTAGAAATACCAGAAACCAGCAGCAGCTCCTTCTTCGTCATTTAGAATAAGCAACAAGATTTCACAAAAAATAGCAACATGTTTTCTATTTGTTAGTGAGCACACAATTTATAATGCATTTTTAAAAATCAGGGATGGACAATGTGTGGCCTATAAGCTAACTAGATAGCTCAGAGTTTTATATACGACGGCCTGCGGAGCCAGAAGTTGGAAGTTTGATTCTCCACTGTACCTCCTTGATAGGGGTTGGACTCAACGATCCACAGGGTTCCTTCAGGCTCTACAGTTCTAAGATGATTATGATGATGATTGCAGGAATAAAAAGAGAGCCTTGTTTGAAAGCAGGGATTGTGATGCAGCAAGGTGCAGCATAAAGTGGGTGCACAGTGAAGTTGCCACACCTTTTTCAAACTATCAAAATAATGGGAGTGCAAAACACAATGCAAAATAAAACAGGGGCTCCAGCTTCTATCCCAGTGGTTCCCAACCTTGGATCCCCATATGCTCTTAGACTACAACTCCCAGAAATTCTGGCCAGCACAGGTAGTGGTGAAAGCTTCTGAGATTTTTAACCCAAGAATACCTGGGAACCTATTAGAACCCAGTCTTTTAAAACCATTTAGGGTGACAGAAAAACTGTTTGCAATGTTCAAATTCAATGCTAATTTTAAACTATTCTATATGAAGGGATCCAAGACAAGAGCCTCCTTGTAACTCCATTTAATGCTGCATAAAAGGATTATTAGGAAACACAAGAAGAAGCATAATTCTCCTACTGGTACATCAAACAAATAAATGTGAAGATCATAATGCGTTAAGCTGGGTCCAATCAACAGATAAAAGATAAATATAATAATTAAGATCACCCGCTGCACTGTTTTAATTAAGAAGCCTTATTTACAGCAGGAAAGAAAATTTGCCATGGCTTCAAAGCAGTTCTACATATTTATCAAGGGAAAGTTTAAATTCCTTTTGAGGATATTTATGATGATTTTAACCAATATAATGTAAACACAGGGATCTTTCTCCCTTAAAATTCTCCCCTATTCCAACCAATAATGTATTTCTCAAGGCCTGATTCAATGAACATACACACAAAAACAAAACAAGACAAAAAAGGACGACATCTGGTTTCTATATTCTGAAGCCTGAAAAGACCTTGTTACAATCCTTCTCTGGAAGCTTCCATGTGGCAGAAACTGTCTCCCAGGCCTTATCTTTGCAACAATAGATGCTTGCAGCCTATTTAAAATGCCCTAATGGGTATGTTTTCAAAGAGCTTTAAATGCACAAATGTTATAACCATTAAAATCCTCTCATCGTGTATTACTTAGACCATTTCCTCTCACAGATGTGCATTCTGAACAAAAGGAACAGAAAAATTACCTCAACAACAATATGAAAATTCAATACAGATCAACTACTTTATTGTCATAGTGAAATACATGAAGTATTACAGACCCCATAGTCTTCCCCCCACTTTTAAGCAAAAGAAATCGCAAATCTTACTGTGTGATTACGCATGAGAACAGCACTGGTACCATCTTCCAAATAATGTGTTTCGGTGAAGTTGCCAGCAAACAGGCCACTGGGGGTGGAAATAAGGGAATAACTTCAGGTACAGTTTCAAGGCCAAATCATTACAACTTCAGTTTTAACAGAAATAAGTAGACAAAAGATAAAGTTTAATTTCGAAACACAATAATGATATAGATATTTAAAGGTCAGAATTAACTACCCTTTCTGACTTCTAAAAGAAGTGTTCAAGCAGAAAGCAAAAATAGTGATTAAGACAGTATTCTTTTCCTATAAAGAATTTAAAAAACATACAGTGATCATTCATTTGTATAACATTTAACTCTCACTGTGCATTTTATTGATTTTTCCCTCCCCATATTTATAAATACAGTGGTGCCTTGCATAGCGATCGCTCCGTTTTACAACGAAATAGCTTTGCAATGGACTTTCTGCCATTGCAAGAGCGATCGCTTTGTGATGGCCCCTATGGGGAAAATTCGCTTTGCGATGATCGCAGGAAAGCAATCATCACAAAGCCCCCACTTTTTGGGATGATCGTGGGGAAGCGCTTCCGCCACCCTGGCCAAGAAAGACCCTCTGCACCTGCAGCAACCTTAAGCCTGGGCAGAGGCTCTTTCTCGGCCAGGGTGGTGCGGCAGTGCCTCAGTCTCCCTGCCAAGACTGTCAGTCTCCCTGCTGAGGCTGGAGCTGCGAGGGGTGGAGAGAGAGAGAGAGAGACGAAGCACAGCTGATCAGCAGGGGAAGCGATCATTCCAAAATGGCGGCCGCTGTTTTGCCTCGCTTTAGAGGCACCCAAAATTGTCGCGGCTATGGAGGAATTTTGCTTAAGGTTAGTTTCTACGCCCACAGGAATGTATTAAACGCGTTTTAATACATTCCTATGGGCTTTTTAAAATCGCTTATCGATTAAATCACTTAGCGATGTTTTTCCTGGAACGGATTAACGTTGCTAAGTGAGGCACCACTGTAAATAATGAATAAATATACACAAAACAAGCTCTTTTATTACCAGAACATCAGAATGTCTCATACACCTCTTGAAAATACTTTCAGACTAGTGCATTCTTGGGAACTCCAGTTTTTGACTGCATATTCCTAGCAGGAATAGCTAACTTGTCATAACTGATAGTTCCGGCAACTGGCGGGGCAAGTGCAGCTGGATCGGCAGAGGTGATTTCAGTGTCATGCTTCTGAAATAGTGACCATCTGAGTCCCTTCAGTCTCTTTCCCCACTTTACTTATGTCTGTACTTGAAAGGGAGTTCCCACTAACCATAATGCTGCTTTGTACCGAAGAGATTTGCTAGGAATGGTGGGCTCTTCCTTAACATAAGGACATAAGAACGTAAAATGAGTCCTGCTTAGGGTTGCCAGATGTCCGGCAAAAGGAGAACATGACCTTCTTTTTAGCCTAATGTCCTCCATCCGGCAGGCAAAGATAAAAACCTTTAAAATGTCTGGCTTTGTAATACTGGCACAGAGATGGATCTCCGCCCCCCCCACGCATGGCAGGTGTGTCACGCTTGCATGGAATTTAATCTCGATTAAAGAAAAACTAGAGCATCCAACATGCAATGTGTACCTCTGACTCTCCCCCTCCCCTAATGCTTCAGAGTCATAAGGTACGGAAGACGAAATGCAACCACCCTTCTGTTTCGCTTGAAGGGGCAAAGGGGAGGAATATCATTACCTAAGATATACAGCCTGCCTTTGCCTTGCTCTATGAGTCAATAGAGATAGGATCCTAGAAAAGGCCGAGGGCAGTGGACAGTATATCCGGAAGAGGAAGCGTGTGTGTTTGTGAAGGCTAGCTTCCATTTCCCACTGGGCCCATTTTGTGAGGTTTTCTTGGCGGGTGGCGTATGTTCTTTCAGTCTGCTGGCTTGTGCTGCCTTTGCCACCACTGCCCTCATCGCCCTCCTCCTCTCGTTGCCATGACAGACCACTACACCATCCATAGCCAACTGGAGCACCTGCAGTCCAAGTACATCAGAACAGGCCCATGCCCCCTGCCCCCTCAACCGGTCCGTGGTCCCAAAAAGGTTAAACTTTCAATAAATCTTCCTCTGTCCTCTTTTATTTCTCTTTCTATGTCCTCCTTTTGGTATCTGGCAACCCTAGCTCCGCTGGAATAGGCTGAGGGCCCATCTAGTCCAGTTTCCTGGCCCCACCAGATGCCTCTGGGAGCACATGAGACAACTAGATACGTTTCTCCTGATACCACCACCCTCCATTTGACATTTTGAGGTACCTTCCTTCAAATCCTGGAGATAATACATCTCAAGATGGCTTGCAACCTGCAATGGACTTTTCCTCCAGAAATCTGTCCAGTCCCTTTTTAAATGCATCTAGGGCAGATGCCATCACTCCTTCCTATGGCAAGAAGTTCCACAGACTAAAAATACACTGGGTAAATAACTATTTTCTTTTGTCTGTTCTCCCCACACTCAATTTGAGTGGATGTCCCCTGGCTCTGGTATTGTGTGAAAGAGGAAAGAGCTTCCCTCTATCCACTTTATCCATTCCCTGCATCATTTTATATGTCTCAATCATGTCCCCTGCTCAGGCGCCTTTTCTTTAGACTAAAGAGCCCAAAATATTGTAGCCTTTCCGCTCATAAGGGAGGTGCCCCAGTACAGTCATCAATTGGGTCGCTCTATTCTGTACCTTTTCCAGTTTCGCTGTGCCCTTTTTTGCACTGTGGCGACCAGAACTGTATGCAATTCTCCAGGTGCAGCCTTACCAGCATTTTGTACAATGGCATTATAATGTTGGCTGTTTTATTTTTCATCCCCTTTTTAATGTTACTTCGCATGGAACTGGCCACCGCGCACTGGGTTGACATGTTCATTGAGCTGTCCACCAGCACACCAAGATCTCTTTCCAGACAGCTCAGAGCCCATCAGCTGACAAATAAAGTTTTGGTTCTTTTTCCTCCAATGTGCATTACTTTACATTTACTTATATTGATACACATTTGCCATTTTGCTGCCCATTCTCCCAGCTTGGAGGGATTCTTCTGGAGCTAATCACAATCCCTTCTGGTCTTCACCACCCGGAAAACTTTTGTGTCATCTGCAAACTTGGCCATCTCACTGCTTATCCCTGTCTCCAGGTCATTTATGAACACTCTTCACCCCTCTCCATTGTGAAAATTGCCAGTTCACACCTACTCTCTGTTTCCTCATTCTCAACCAATTCTTAGTTCATGAGAGGATGTGCCCTCTTATCCCGATTGTGGAGTTATCTCAGCAGCCTTTGTTGAGGGACTGCATCAAACGCCTTCTGAAAATCCAGATAGACAATATCCACTGGTTTGCCCCCATCCACATACCTGCTGACCTTTTCAAAGAATTCTAAAAGGTTTCTGAGGCAAAACTTCCTTGATATGATGGAGCTGCATAGCATGAATGTGGAAGGCAATTTCTGGGGTTCTTCATAAATCTCTTTCTCAGTTACAAAAGTAGAAGTACTGTCGCTGCCCAAGCTGACAGTATCAATTAGTGTTGACACCATCCTTGTCCTTCTCTATCACATTGGCTCTTTGGGAGAAAGTTTCTTCTTCACAATTTGTTTTGGCCCCTTACCTTGGCAGCCTTGGCTGCACTGCACCAAGATTTCACTGGAACATATCTGAAGTTCACTCATATGTGTCCAACCTTGAACCATAGGCTTCTCAGCCACCCACTTGTCCTGCTCCTCTTTTGTAGCATCAGTGCTAGAGAAGGCAGCTGGGTGACAGCTTTTGTTTGAGAGACCCCTACCAGCAGTTGTAGGCTTTCTTTTTCCTCTCCCTCTCCCATTCTTCTCAGCAGGAGCTGCTGCAGTTGGTGCAAGCAGTTTTCCTGCAGTCTTCCCCAAAGTTCATACTCCTTCTACCACACCTGTATTCCCTACTGCCTGCAGGCTCTACCCAAAGAACAGTATCTGATTCTGCTACAGCAGAACACAAACCCTTTAAATGAAAATCACACACACACACATACACAAGCACACAATCAATCAATCAATCAATCAATCGATCGATCAATCAATCAATCAATCAATCAATCAATCAATCAATCAATCAATCAATCAATCAATTTGGTTGTTGTGGGTTTTTCAGGCTCTTTGGCCGTGTTCTGAAAGTTGTTCTTTCTAACGTTTTGCCCGTCTCTGTGGCCGGCATCTTCAGAGGACAGCACTCATATATATTTTCTACAGAATATAGGAAATATTGCTCCTGAGTACACATTGTAATTAGGCATTAGGAATATATAGATGTTGTATGTGTTTCCTTTTCACATGTTCTGTGCATGTAGAATATGCATGATTAGAAGCAGGATTAGGGCTTCACTCCAGGCTATGCCCTGGGCATTGTGACCCCAAGTTTAGACTTATTTTCCAAGTTTAGATCAGCATTTTTCATTGCACATGATAGCAAGCCAGCTTAGGGGGCACAGGGAAGGGCATGCACCACACACCTTTTCATCTTCCAGCAAAGAGAAATGGCTGGGAGACTCAGAAGTAGCAGCTGGGGTGCTCCTGTCAATTTGCCCATGTGTCCATTTTTACAGAGGACAATCTTCTATATGAGGTTTTATCATTTAGACAGAGTTATCCAGTTTGATTCTGATTTACAGACAGGCCTTTGGGGGGGGGGAGATGAGGAACCTTAATGTTGCCCACCCATGTTAGCACTTGAACAGCAGACTCAGCAGGTACATAATTGCCTGGTCATAGTCTTCCTCACTGAGATGAGATGCACCAAATTATGTTAATTATAGAAAGCAGCATATATAAATTAATATCTGCAATTTTAGGTGGGTTCTCCTTTTTTTTGTTATATTTAACTGAGTACCCTAGCCGCCACCATTCTTACACTTTTGCTTCTTTTTTTTTTTTTGCCTGAATTGCATGCTATACTCTGCCTAAGGATAAGGCTGGCCTTGACCAGAGATCCAGTTTAGATTTCCTTCCAGGAGAGTGCAATATTCTAGGGTTATGGATTGACCTTGTCCACCTAGACTGGTCAGTCTAAAGTAATAGAGGTAGAAAAAGCTTGCCGATT